TTGGGGCAAGGATAGTGATACACTTGGATAGGAGGATGGAGACCCAGATACAAACTGACTTGTGGTACCTTGAGGCTGGAGTGACCCACCAAAAGTGGTACTTCCCTGCAGGGTTAATGGCTTAGAGGACACTAACTGGTTGCCATAGCTAGAGGCAAACTGCTTTCGTGAACTCTGGGCTGTAGCAGACTGACTGGAGGAACCTTGGGGCGAGGATAGTGATACACTTGGATAGGAGGATGGAGACCCAGATACAAACTGACTTGTGGTACCTTGAGGCTGGAGTGAACCACCATAGGTGGTGCTTCCCTGCCATTTGAAGGGAGCGGAGGGTCCTTCCTGGGTGCCAGAGTTGCCAGTGAAGGTAGATGTGAACTGCTTCTGTGAACTCTGGGCTGTAGCAGACTGACTGGAGGAACCTTGGGCAAGGATAGTGATGCACTTAAATAGGAGGATGGAGACCCAGATACAAACTGACTTGCAGTACCTTGAGGCTGGAGTGAACCCCCATAAGTGGCGCTTCCCTGCAGGGTGAATGGCTTAGAGGATACTAACTGGGTGCCATAGCTAGATGCAAACTGCTTCCGTGAACTCTGGGCTGTAGCAGACTGACTGGAGGAACCTTGGGGCGAGGATAGTGATACACTTGGATAGGAGGATGGAGACCCAGATACAAACTGACTTGTGGTACCTTGAGGCTGGAGTGACCCACCATAAGTGGTACTTCCCTTTAGGGTTAATGGCTTAGAGGACACTAACTGGGTGCCATAGCTAGATGCAAACTGCTTCCGTGAACTCTGGGCTATAGCAGACTGACTGGAGGAACCTTGGGGCAAGGATAGTGATACACTTGGATAGGAGGATGGAGACCCAGATACAAACTGACTTGTGGTACCTTGAGGCTGGAGTGACCCAGCAAAAGTGGTACTTCCCTGCAGGGTTAATGGCTTAGAGGACACTAACTGGTTGCCATAGCTAGAGGCAAACTGCTTTCGTGAACTCTGGGCTGTAGCAGACTGACTGGAGGAACCTTGGGGCGAGGATAGTGATACACTTGGATAGGAGGATGGAGACCCAGATACAAACTGACTTGTGGTACCTTGAGGCTGGAGTGAACCACCATAGGTGGTGCTTCCCTGCCATTTGAAGGGAGCGGAGGGTCCTTCCTGGGTGCCAGAGTTGCCAGTGAAGGTAGATGTGAACTGCTTCTGTGAACTCTGGGCTGTAGCAGACTGACTGGAGGAACCTTGGGGCAAGGATAGTGATGCACTTAAATAGGAGGATGGAGACCCAGATACAAACTGACTTGCAGTACCTTGAGGCTGGAGTGAACCCCCATAAGTGGCGCTTCCCTGCAGGGTGAATGGCTTAGAGGATACTAACTGGGTGCCATAGCTAGATGCAAACTGCTTCCGTGAACTCTGGGCTGTAGCAGACTGACTGGAGGAACCTTGGGGCGAGGATAGTGATACACTTGGATAGGAGGATGGAGACCCAGATACAAACTGACTTGTGGTACCTTGAGGCTGGAGTGACCCAGCAAAAGTGGTACTTCCCTGCAGGGTTAATGGCTTAGAGGACACTAACTGGTTGCCATAGCTAGAGGCAAACTGCTTTCGTGAACTCTGGGCTGTAGCAGACTGACTGGAGGAACCTTGGGGCGAGGATAGTGATACACTTGGATAGGAGGATGGAGACCCAGATACAAACTGACTTGTGGTACCTTGAGGCTGGAGTGAACCACCATAGGTGGTGCTTCCCTGCCATTTGAAGGGAGCGGAGGGTCCTTCCTGGGTGCCAGAGTTGCCAGTGAAGGTAGATGTGAACTGCTTCTGTGAACTCTGGGCTGTAGCAGACTGACTGGAGGAACCTTGGGGCAAGGATAGTGATGCACTTAAATAGGAGGATGGAGACCCAGATACAAACTGACTTGCAGTACCTTGAGGCTGGAGTGAACCCCCATAAGTGGCGCTTCCCTGCAGGGTGAATGGCTTAGAGGATACTAACTGGGTGCCATAGCTAGATGCAAACTGCTTCCGTGAACTCTGGGCTGTAGCAGACTGACTGGAGGAACCTTGGGGCAAGGATAGTGATACACTTGGATAGGATGATGGAGACCCAGATACAAACTGACTTTTGGTACCTTGAGGCTGGAGTGACCCACCATAAGTGGTACTTCCCTGTAGGGTTAATGGCTTAGAGGACACTAACTGGGTGCCATAGCTAGATGCAAACTGCTTCCGTGAACTCTGGGCTATAGCAGACTGACTGGAGGAACCTTGGGGCGAGGATAGTGATACACTTGGATAGGAGGATGGAGACCCAGATACAAACTGACTTGTGGTACCTTGAGGCTGGAGTGAACCACCATAGGTGGTGCTTCCCTGCAGGGTTAATGGCTTAGAGGACACTAACTGGTTGCCATAGCTAGAGGCAAACTGCTTTCGTGAACTCTGGGCTGTAGCAGACTGACTGGAGGAACCTTGGGGCAAGGATAGTGATACACTTGGATTGGAGGATGGAGACCCAGATACAAACTGACTTGCGGTACCTTGAGGCTGGAATGAACCCCCATAAGTGGCACTTCCCTGCAGGGTGAATGGCTTAGAGGATACTAACTGGGTGCCGTAGTTAGATGCAAACTGCTTCCGTGAACTCTGGGCTGTAGCAGACTGACTGGAGGAACCTTGGGGCGAGGATAGTGATACACTTGGATAGGAGGATGGAGACCCAGATGCAAACTGACTTGTGGTACCTTGAGGCTGGATTGAACCATAGGTGGTGCTTCCCTGCCATTTGAAGGGAGCGGAGGGTCCTTCCTGGGTGCCAGAGTTGCCAGTGAAGGTAGATGTGAACTGCTTCTCTGAACTCTGGGCTGTAGCAGACTGACTGGAGGAACCTTGGGGCAAGGATAGTGATGCACTTGAATAGGAGGATGGAGACCCAGATACAAACTGACTTGCAGTGCCTTGAGGCTGGAGTGAACCCCCATAAGTGGCGCTTCCCTGCAGGGTGAATGGCTTAGAGGATACTAACTGGGTGCCATAGCTAGATGCAAACTGCTTCCGTGAACTCTGGGCTGTAGCAGACTGACTGGAGGAACCTTGGGGCGAGGATAGTGATACACTTGGATAGGAGGATGGAGACCCAGATGCAAACTGACTTGTGGTACCTTGAGGCTGGAGTGAACCACCATAGGTGGTGCTTCCCTGCCATTTGAAGGGAGCGGAGGGTCCTTCCTGGGTGCCAGAGTTGCCAGTGAAGGTAGATGTGAACTGCTTCTGTGAACTCTGGGCTGTAGCAGACTGACTGGAGGAACCTTGGGGCAAGGATAGTGATGCACTTGGATAGGAGGATGGAGACCCAGATACAAACTGACTTTTGGTACCTTGAGGCTGGAGTGACCCACCATAAGTGGTACTTCCCTGTAGGGTTAATGGCTTAGAGGACACTAACTGGGTGCCATAGCTAGATGCAAACTGCTTTCGTGAACTCTGGGCTGTAGCAGACTGACTGGAGGAACCTTGGGGCAAGGATAGTGATACACTTGGATTGGAGGATGGAGACCCAGATACAAACTGACTTGCAGTACCTTGAGGCTGGAATGAACCCCCATAAGTGGCACTTCCCTGCAGGGTGAATGGCTTAGAGGATACTAACTGGGTGCCGTAGCTAGATGCAAACTGCTTCCGTGAACTCTGGGCTGTAGCAGACTGACTGGAGGAACCTTGGGGCGAGGATAGTGATACACTTGGATAGTAAGATGGAGACCCAGATGCAAACTGACTTGCGGTATCTTGAGACTGGACAGAACCACTGTAAGTGCTACTCATTCCCTGGGAGGCAAAGCCAGTAGAGCCCCCAAACCAAGGACCAGCGCTACTTTTGGACAGGCTATAAATAGCTGGCTGTGACGACATGGGTAAACTCGCATATTTAGGATGGGACGCAGGGGCATACAGATGAAGAGTGCTCTGAGGCTTCAGATATAAGCTAGAAGTAGAACTACTACCTCCCTGCACAGGGAAAAAGTTACTGGAAGTTAATTGAGTGCCAGACCTGCTCTGGGTGCTTGACAAACTAGGTGAACTCTGAACGCGTGTAGGTTGGCTAGAAATGCTTTGAGTGGGACTACCCTGAGTGACTAGAGGTGAAGCAGGACCTGCTGACTGTGAATCTGAACTGCTCTCAGAGCCAAGCTTAAACAAGCTAGGAGTGTTTTGACCATTAGTAAACTGGCTAGAGACCTCCAATGGTGCGGGTAAAAGCTGACTGGAGTGGTCTTGTGATTGGGGAGACAAGTCAACATGAGAGCCAAGTCCTGCCACTTCCCCTTGAAAAGAAGAGCCAAAGGCTTCCAACAAACTGCCTGAACTTCCCTGAAAGCTAGAACTGTACAAACTTGGGGTACTCTGGTCACTAGTAGACTGACTAGAAACAGATGAAGAACTGAGCATATTATAGGAGTCCGGATTATATTGACCCGAGGCACCTTGAGACTGGGACAAGCCACTGTAACTGCTTTCACCCTGAGGAAAGTTGGATTGACCAGAGCCTTCTGAAGCCAGCACTGGGTTACCTTGAGAAGTATATGTGGCACCTGGAGCAGATGAACTGCTGTAAGAGATACTCTCCTGAGAGAACACAGGCAACGTGGCTTCTGCTGATTTAGCACCAGAGGTTTCCAGGGAGCTGGACATGTTCAAACTAGGGGAGCTTTGATCACTGGTGGACAGGCCAGAATTGCCAAGTGTGGCAGGGAAGCTACTTTCTCCTTGTGTAGAAACACTAGTAGTATCTGTAGCAGCTGATCCAGAGGAACTCTGGAGTGATGTCAAATGGCCTGCATACTGTTCATTTAAGGGTAGAGGCAAGGAAGCCAAAACAGACCCGCTTGATTCATGCCTGCTGGAAACACCACCTTTAACAAATTTGAGTAAGTTCAACCTTTTCAGGGGTCTGTTAGAGAATGAACCAGAGCCCACTTCTTCAGGCAAAATCCCAGTCACAGGGACCTCTGACACAGAAGACTGGACTGCACGAGGTGAGAAAGTTTTGTCAGAAGGTTGGCCCCACCAGTAATGAGCACCAGCTGTGAATAAGACAAAATAGGAGACTTGTACAAAAAGAAACCTCACAATTTAAAATCCTTTGCAAGAAAGATAAAAAAAAAAAACCCATACACACACATTACCTTTAAATCCATGAGTATTTCTCAAAAAGAGCAGGAAGATTACAAACAAGGGTAACCTAAAAGTAAATATAGAAAATACATTAAGTAAATAAATGATTAACTGAATCATTCACAAAATGAGTTTGATTGAATAAACTCACTGCATCCACTCTTTATCCATGGTTAACAAAAACCTAGAGTACTCTAAAGCCCCAACATTCACTTTCTCAAAACACCACACAGACAATACAAATACAAACATGCAACTGGAGATAAGTGTATTTTATAGGCCTTCATCAGTCCAATTAGGGCAAATATCTAATTACATGAAACATTGTTCACCTGGGAAACTAACTGACTGTTAAAAGATAATTGATGATTGTTGAATGAAGGATTCCCTGTGCTGTTTAAACATTTTATAGTGTGTAACTGTGTATTGTTTGCATAGGATATTGTCATACACTTTAAACAAAATGTATCTGATCATATCAGGTTGACCTTTATAAATAGTGTTGTTTAATTGTTATAATGTAATACAAACTGTGCAGAGAGAATAAAAGAGAGACAGAGAGGGCAACAAGGCTTTTTTCAACCCTGTTTAAATCTAGGCCTATGTTTAAATATGACGCGTCTTAGCTGCTCCCACACGCCCCTTTTTTAAGGCCTTGCCCATGTTTACTACTAGCTGACAACTCTGATGTGTGTGTGTGTGTGTGTGTTGAGTTTCATGCATTTTGAAGCATGCTACAGTAAGGCCTCGTTTACACTGCATGGTTCAAGTGACCCAAATCCGATTTTTTCCTCTCATGTGGCACAGATCGGATATGACCGATGAACGTGTAAGCAGGAAAAAAACGCATGGATTCTGATTTTCTCAGATCGGATTCAGGCCTCATTCATATGTGGTAATAAATCGGATATGAATCAGATACGTGCATTGGCGTGTGCTATGTAAGCAGACAAATCGGATATTTCCCATTAAATGCGAGTCATGCGTCATGAACTGCGCGATTATAGGCGCGATCCGCGCGATGGAAGAAAGGATACACACAGTGGAGCAATGCGGAGGCATCATGTCTTTTGAGTGTTTGGGGTGAAGAGTGCAGGCAAAAATGTAGGATTGTTACAGAAATAAATCCGTTTATCCATACGAGACCAATGTTTTGATGACTTATTGAAATATTGTGGAAAGAAAACACTGGATAATATTATTCGCATCTGCATCTATTGAATTTTGTGCTGTTTTGCTTAATTTCCCGGTTCAGAAGCATCAGAACGTCTGCATTTGGTAGTTTCAGCAGTGTATAGTGTGAATGCAAAAATCGGATATGGGTCACTTTCAAAATATGATGTAAGCAGGTCGCCGAAAAAAAAAAAAATCAGATAGTCAGAAAATCAGATTTGGGCATCAAGACATGCAGTAAAAATGCAGCCTAAGTGTCTCAGAAATAGTCAAAAGAAATATAAAAGTTTGATGCATTGCCATAACCGTATTCAAGATATTACCATTCAAGGTAAACCTTTCGCAGGTTTACGTCTGTTTCTTGGCATTATTCTGATTCAGTTCGAAGCAAATCAGTGTGTGTTTTTTTTTTTTTTTTTAAGCAAAATAAGAAGTCATTGTAAACACTTTTTCGTGAAGGGAAAATTTTCAATATAATTCAATAAATGTAACAGAGCATAGCTCAAAAGTACAGTTAAACATTTCTTAAATTACTTTATCAATCTTCTCCCAAAAAAAGTAGCTTCACAATACCAAACTAAATGCATAAATGTTCCTAATTCAAGTCCACATTTTCTACACATAAGAGAGAATGCATCAATAAATGTCTTAAGAGTCACTGAATATAGTATTAATGCAGAATTTGTAGAGTTTGAAGTAAATCACTATAATATATGAGTGTTTACACAGCCATTTCATTTAATAAATGGCAAGTGCTGGTGTGTCGAATGATGTCAGCTAATCAGCATACACTTACGTCGCGGACAGTTCATGCTGGTTTAGACCCTACTCTAAAATAGGAGCTAAATTAATTACTAGAACTAAAACCGTTCCTAGTTCCTGCGGTGCGAACACCAAAATCAAGGTACTTCCACCAATAGTTCTAGGAACTATGAAAAGGTTCCTAGGAAAAGCCTCAATAAACAGGGTGGGTATACTAGGATCCCTCAATTTTGTTTTGTAAGGCAGAATTAGGTTTGTTTGTAAATAGAATTAGGATTGTGGTACATGTCAGACCAGAAAACAAGTTATAAACTATAGTATTTGTGCAAGTAAAGACAAAAAAACCCAAATATATTAACATTTATTAAATACCAGAAGCCACATGACATTTCCAGTTATTTTTGGCCATGGCCATATTCTTTAACATTGATGGGGCCAACAGATGCTCTTTCCCAGCGTAGATCTGTGGAAGAAATGATTAGTGAGAACAAAAGCCATGAATGACAATAAATTATCAGTGTTAGTCCATACCTGTAAGCAGTTGATCACTTCCACTTCTGACGCTACACGTTGTGTCACAGCAGCCACAAACCTGGTCAGAATCATCTGCAGACACCCACCTGACAGAACAAACCCTCAATTAAGGGAATGCAACTAATTCACATGTACACTTATCTAGCAGGAAACATACCCATTAGAAGAGAAGGAACAAGCTTTCTGTTCAGGGCTTGAGGTTGCTGCAGCCACCTTCAAAACACATGTGATGTAGACCTGCAGAGACAATTGTTTGTGAACCATGGATATCATATACAAAGAGTTGTACAACTACAGGACATGCATACCAGCCCACTGTCTGCTTGCTGGAACCTGAACGCCTCTAGCTGAAACCTCAGCTTATCAACTTGAGTCCTGGGCATAAAGCGAGACGTGGAGCCTGTGAGCTTGGCATCAACCAGGCACCTGTGAACAGAACCCAGTTAGAAATACACAACCCTTCTGGAAGCTGGGACACATGAGGTAGCAGCTCTTACCCATTATTCTCAATAAAGGAGTATCTGGGGACAGAAGCGACATCAGGGACTGCAGTAGCCACACAGCTGTCCACAAACACACGGATGGGAACATGGTTGTACAAAAGCACAGATGCTTCAAGATTTATCATGTCACCCAGGAAGTACTGGTTAGAAGGTCTCTCAAATCTCCAGTCATCTGTAAAGAAAACAAGTCTTAAAGATTCTTCAAATCATACTACAAATCTGTAATCTGCATGGGCGACACCAACCAGTCATGAGCTTGAGGGAGAAGACGAACACATCCTCTGCAACCTTAGTTGAGGCATATGGGATCCAAGTGGGCATTAAGGCATTGCTGCTCAAATTATGTGTTCTGTGGGAGTTAAACAAGCGGTCATCTCTTGCCCATAAACTGCAGGATTAGAACATCCAGTGAACATGAATTCATTGAATCCTCACCTTGGATAATGACACTCGATACCAACCACTGCACTACTACTCCTGACAATAGGAACACCATATGAAGCCTCTTGTGGGGTGTAGATAATGTTGAACCTATAGACAAGCTCATCCTCAGTCACCTAAACAGAAAGGTTAGCAGAACAGTCACATGGATGGTTCAGAATACCTATGATTGTCACAACAGAACCTTACCATTGATGTGCTGCTACATCCATGCAGTTCAGACTCAAAGATCAGCACTTGAGCAGAAGAATCCTCTCCAGTTGCAGTACAGCCTCCCAGTGTGAAACCAGAGGACAACAGTGGGCGTCCAGTCCCAAAGAAGTCCTTCTTCACTTCCACATATACAGAGTTTTCTCCACACTGAGCAGCTACACTGTTGGCAGGGACAGGATTAGGCAACTCAAAAGGAACATCTGGCTGCTGTGGTTCCTCAGGTAGACTTGGAAAGCTCCACATCAGTTTCGCCACTGGACCCTGCAACAGCTCCTTTAATTGAACACCCATGAGATCTTGAGAAGACTTTCCAGAGTCAGTCCTGACTTGTGTCTGGACAGGAAACATTTGTGGTGCAAATGCAATGTTACTGGGAACCAAAGACATCCTGGAATCAGACTGTTGAGGAGCTTGAGCGAATGTTCTAGGCCTAAATGCACTTGGACTCTGATTGTGTGCTGCTCTTGCTCTCCATTGTGCTTCAGAAAATCCAAGTGCAAGGATAAACACCAATCCAAATCCAATCTGCCAAAACCCCATTATTGCTAAGCTTGCTTTAATAACACATTGTGGTGCTACCATCCAAATTTATACAGATGTAAATTAGAATGGCTCCACCTCTCTGGTGATGAGCCTAATTTTTCTCTGCACCTGGCAATTTACTCAATCAATCTGTCACAGGTGAAAGTCATTGATCCTTTACTACGCAGAATTAAATGAAAACATATAAGGGCATGTTATTAGTAGCTAAACCAAATGATTGCCTATTTTAAATAACAAAATGAAAGGGTTAATTATCTGAAATACAAACAACCGCAAGTCTTTTTTTGTCTTCTTTTTTATTGTTAATTCAGAAACATGGTCACAGACAGAATTGCACACAAGTATCCAGAATAATAAAGTTTAGTATGTTTCAGGTTTAGATTAATAAATGTTTTTTCCTCACATCAACAGCAATTTTCACAGGGGTCTGAAATGGAGAAATTTAGTTCAGGACCAAAGGAATGCAGGATCATAACATTATTTGATTATATTATTAATTCATTGATATGTTTTCTCCCCATTGCAACTGTAATGTTGATGTAGTGTTTTAAATTTTGTGACCGTTCCAGCAAACTTAGAATTTATTTCTGTTGTATTTTTTTGTTTCTTTGCATGATGTTGTTCATTTTCTGTATAAAATATGGGAAAAATGTTTTTTGTTTTAAAATAATGTAATGAGTTTTATAGCTAAGTGACGTCATTTCCACTTGCGTCGTCTAATCGCGACTCGCTCCGCTTTGGGTTTGAGCTACAGGTATGTGTAAATGAGCTCTGAACAAAGTGTTAATATATAATACATTAAGTAGAAATTCTGATTAATACCAGTGGATGACATGTTTTAATGCTAAGTTAAGTCATGTAATATGCTTGGATGTCGATATTTTTGTGTGTAATCCAAGTTTTATGTTAATGAGGCCTTATTGCATTGTTTCAAATTGCCGCCCGCGCGCTATTTTGAACTGCGGGGTACAGTTGTATAATTCTTAAAATATAGTTAAAAAGGGTGGATTACGTTTCTATAATATCATGCAGTTATCAATGTCAATGTATATCTGTCAATGTATGCATTTGCAGTTAATTGTGTATTTGAACTAGTGATGGCAGATGCAGTTATGGTGTTAATAATGGGGCCAGGGTTTTATTTTTCTATCTTTTCGCACTTTTTCATAGAGACTACAGAACTGATCGTGAGAGTGTGATGTTAATTCCTGTCCTGTCTTTAATAAACTGCAGGTATGTCATATTGTAACAAATTACTACCACTATACGATCGGATGTCACTGTGATGTTGGATTGAGAGCTATTTTTCATATATTTTCAAAGTACTAAGTAATATATATATATATATATATATATATATATATATACATACATATATAAATAAGACTAAGAGTATTTTATTATATATACATTTATTATATCAATTGCCTGATTGAGTGCGTTTAATATGTGTTGAATGTAATTTGTAATGCATGTTGTGATAAGAAATGAAAGAAAAGAGACATTGTAAAAATGTTTCTTAGTAATTGTTGTGAGAACAGCTTTGGGTTTGAGCGAGACAGAAACTACAGAACTGAGAGTGTGATGTTAATTCCCGTCCTGTCTTTAAACTGCAGATGTAAATTAATCCCCCTGAAGAGCCTTGTGTCGGTGGTTCATTTGTGGTGCTGAGTGAGAGCCGCTACATTTAGGTTGATCAGAGTGTTTGTGGATTCATTGTAGACTTCATTCTTTCTCGAACTAGGCCTATACTATATGCTGGTCAGCACCTTTGAGGCTGCTGAGAGGGTCTTCGAAAACCTTGATGCATTCTGCCCAGTTCACATTGTTCGATTTTGTATCATATTGTATATGATTGTTTTGCTGCTACAACCTACGTCTACTGACTAGCCAATAAACACATGAAATGGTGTATTGATAAAAGCAACATGGCGCTAAAACTTAAAACTATACTTGCCTCAAGCTCCATTTGCAAAATCGGCATGGCAAGTTGTCCGCTTTTCCCTAGCAATGACAGCGTCCATATTCTCCTCTTTTAAATGCTTTTCATTGAACTTTCTATTTATCAAAGAATACTGAAAAATTCTTTGATACGGATTGTAGCACAGTTTCCAATGAAATATTAAGCAGCTCAACTGTTCTCAACATTGATAAATGTTTCTTAAGCATCAAATGATCATATTAGAGTGATTTCTGAAGGATCACATGACACTGATGACTGGAGTAATGATGCTGAAAATTCAGCTTTGATCACAGGAGTAAATTACTTTTTAAAATATATAACTATAGAAAACATTTATTTTACAGTAATATTCCACATTTTTACTGTGTTTTGTGATCAACTTACTGCTTCTCCTTTTTCCTCATTGTCCTCAATCTCATTTCCGGCAGAATCTCAGACTCTTCACATCCTATCTGAGTGTGAAACGGCTCCTACATGAGAGCAGCTCCTCAGCAGGTACCAAACCACCCAGAATCCTCTGTGAAATGGTCAAATGAGATCATTTATTTCTGTAGAGCAGAGTGAGATAAGAGTAAAATGTGCGCATATACTATAGACATATTCAACGTATATGTCCCAGACTTGTATATCACATGTGGCCTTGGACCACAATACCAGTCACAAGGGTAAATGTTTTGAAATTGAGATTTCATCTGAAAGCTGTATAAATAAGCTCTCCATTGATGTGTGGTTTGTTTAGATAGGACAATATTTGGCCAAGATACATTTTGAAAACCTGGAATCTGAGGGTGCAAAAAAAAATCTAAACTGAGAAAAGTTGTTCATTTATGTTCGCGCTTTTGCTTCATCCACTCACAAAAATTATATATTTTAATATATTTACGATAGGGAATTTACTAAATATCTTCATAGAACTTGATCTTTACATGATATCCTAATGATTTTTGGCCCATACAATATATTGCTGGCTATTTCCACAAATATACCCGTGCTACTTGTTTTGTGGTCCAGGATCACATATATTACATACATTTGTAATGCGTTATAAACAGCATGGAGATTTTGGTATATTACTGCCACGTGTTTCTGTATTTGTCATGTGATGTCTTGTCACATGTTAATTGTTTGCTCAGTGTCCACAGGGGTTCCTTGTTTTGTTTATTAGGCCCCATCCACACTACTGCGTTTTTGTTTAAAAACGGAGAATTAAAATGAATACGATCTCTGTCCACACCAGCGTTTTATCTGCATATTAGAATTGATCTCCGTCCACATTAAAACGACTGAAAACGCGTATCACGTGACTATTCACCAACACTGTGGATGCGCGCGCCGGTGTAAACAGTGGTAGACGAATCGGGGAAGGATACGTTAATACTGATGACACCCAATCATAGAGCCGAGCGTGAGCCTCTGCGTCATCGTTTGTAAACTCCTCCGTTTTGTCCTGTCTACACTAAAACACACCCCGGAGATTCAAAACGCTAAACGGAGCTGCAGCGTTTCTAAACTTCTCCATTTTAGGTCTTCGTTTTTTCCTGTTTTAGTCTTGACGGTAGGTGTAAATGTAGAAAACGCCGTAGTGTGGACGGGGCCTTAGTCTCCCGGTGTCTCGGGTTAACCACGCCCCCTTGTTATCTTGTTTAGCTTGTGTATTTATACCTTTGTTTCAGTTTTGCTTTGTTGGTCATTTTGTGGTTCTAAGTTCTGTTGGTCACCCTGGATTACCTGTTTGTTTTGTTAAAGTAGTGCTTGCATTTGGATTCTCTCTCTGCTTCATTGCTGCCTCAGCATTACAATTACTCCATAGAAAATATCTGGTTGGGTGCAAAATATGGTCGTTGAATAACTAGACTTAAAGAACTTTGCTCAGAAGTTTACTTGGCCACTGCTAAGTACCCAGTTTTCGCTGTTGGACACTTTCTTTGACTGTTGTATTGCAGATCATGAGAATTTGATCATTTGGCACAGAGCTAAAGTTAACTTAAGCAGACTGATCTCATGAAATAGCGTGTGTATGACACCCCAATACGTATTTCCATTTTTGGCGTGCTATCAACACACATAATCGCTTTTCAGCATGTTTATGAACGCCGTTGACTTAACGTTATTAGGGTAGGTAGGTAGGTAGTTTATTTATATAGCACAATTAAATACAGTTTACATTGTCCAATGTGCTTTACAATATTAATAAATATCATAAAAGACTGACAGCAAAACAGCAACAAAAGTTCCGGATTACATTTAAATAGACTACTGCAAGATAAGTGCTTCACCAGTTTAAAAAAGAGATACAGTGTAAAATTGTTTTCTCATGAGTTAAATGCCTTGTCCAATAAGAGTGTTTTTAGCTTGGATTTAAAAACAGAAAGCGAAGAGGCCATTCTAATGGAAGTGGGCAAGTCATTCCATAGTCTGGGGCCAACTACAGAGAAGGCACGGTCCCCCCTGGACTTACTGGATTACTGTATATATATATGACCTATCCCAACCCCGTTCCTAAACCTACCCATCACTGGGGTTAAAGGGTTAGTTCACCCAAAAATGAAAATTAAGTAATTAATTAAGTCAAGTCAAGTCACATTTATTTATATAGCGCTTTTCACAATACAGATTGTATCAAAGCAGCTTCACAGTGATAACATGAAAGTAGCACAACACAGATCAACAACATTGCTAAACACTAAATAACCCCAACTGAGCAAGCTCAAAGCAAGCCAAAAGCAAGGCGACAGTGGCAAGGAACCAAACTCCATCAGATTGGATGGAGAAAAAACCTTGGGAGAACCCAGGCTCAGTCGGGGGCCAGTTCTCCTCTGGCTTACATTCATATTGTTTAAATATAAATATTAAATATAAATATTGTTTATGAATCAAACGGCGCCATAACATATCGCAGGCGTTGAGTCGTCTCTTCACAGGCGTTGAGTCGTCTCATCACAGGCGTTGGGGCATCCGAAATCCCCGTGAGAGGCTGGACACAAAACTGGACCTGACGAACGCCATTTTTCTCGGGACAAGCGTCCCGAGATAACAGCAGAAAGGCAGATGGGAAATAATTAGCATAGCTGATGTTCATAATGATTTCCGTTATAACTCACAAACTCTCCGTAACCTGAACTCTCCGCAACCCAACCATACGCGCCGACCCGTTTGTCTAAAAGGCTGTCGAGCCCCACTGGTGCGTTAAGCAGTTTCAGTGGCAAACGGTTCCGTATGGCATAACAGAGGACTAGAAGGTAAGCATTATGTGAATGCTTGACTAAAGAGAAGCGTCTTTAATCTAGTTTTAAACTGTGTCAGTTTACAGCAATTACTCACCCCCATGCTGTACCAACCCCGTAAGACCTTCGTTCGTCTTCGGAACACAAATGAAGATATTTTTGATGAAATTTGAGAGCTGTATAACTACCACATTGGCTGCCTAAGGGACTGCCTCTTGACGGCCCAAAAAGTCAATGAAGAAAATGTTTAAATATCCCAAGTGACTACCGTGGCTCAACTATATGTTTATTAGGGCTGGGTATCGATTCACATTTCAATTTCGATTCGATTTCGATTCACAAGCTCTCAGTTCGATTCGATTTCGATTCTCGATTCGATTCCTGATTTGATTCTTGATTAAACTATAATGAAGATGTAATAAAAATCCTATATTTATAATTTATAAAAAAGAACAGTGGACATAAGTTTACTAGTGGTTAATTAATACAAGAAAATTAAGAGCCATAAACCTGTATATAAAACTCTTTTTATTTTAGGTACACTAAATGCATACAAAGATTTTGATGCAATATGCAAAAAAGAGTCGCACAGTCGTACAGAACAGTTGCACAGCTTGATCAAACAGTATCATGTTATTTTATGTTTAAGATAGATAAATATATAAATATTTAGACATTTTTTACATTGATCTTACCTAAATGTTAATGTATTTTTTTTTGTTAAGAGTTTATGTATGGATGCTTGATTTCAATCTTTAAATTAAATTGAAAAAAGTAGCACAAATAAATACAATAGAATAAAGACAAAAATTAAGAGACATTTTGGGGTAGTTTTTTGGGTATGTCAGATATACTACAGAAACTGAATAAAGTAATCCAATGTAAAATAACACTGGATAGTCTTTTTAGTCCAGACTGAATTAAATACAAAGGCTATTAATTCTGATTGCTTACAATTAATACTATATTCTGTTGTTATGACAACAGAATTAATGACTGACACAAATGGCTGCGTTCACTTTAAGAACTAGTGCGCGAATCCATTACTGTTTCATTAACTTTCTGTCACACACGTTTAATGCTAATTTAAGACATTACCGACTGTCTTTACGAGGTTACTCACCAAGACCAGAGTTTTGACATAATGTCGCGTGTTTTAACTGTTAAAGTGATATAATCCAGGGATAAAACTTTTGTTTCTGGCGAGCTGTTTGTGAGGCGGATTTAGGCTGTGCACGCAGTGAAAGAAATCTCTGAGAGTGCGCGAGCACGGGATGGTTTAACATTGCTTGAGCAAATAAATGATAAATGTTAGTTACGATCATAGGTTACGATGCAATGCTGGCCCGATTGTGCAAGTGAATATTCCGTCGTGTCCCGACTCCTAAACGCGTGTGTGTATCGACAGCTGCAGCGCTTAGCGCTTGCCTAGTGCAGAGAGACGAGAAGATGCAGCACCGCGTCCGCGAGCCCTTTATATGGAAAAAAATCGATTCGTGGCTGTTGAGAATCGATTTTGAATCGACCACATTTTAAAAAACGATTAATCGAAAAATCGATTTTTTTGCCCAGCCCTAATGTTTATCAAGCGACGAGAATACTTTTTGTGCGAAAAAACAAACAAAAATAACGAGTTTATTCGACTATTCCTTTTCTTCCTTGTAGGCCAGAAACGAGACTTCCTTAGATTTCCACGACGCACGCGCGAGAATTGCGATCTGCTTACACTACTTCAGTTCAGTTCTCGCGCATGGGTCATGGAAATCTAAGGAAGTCTCGTTTCTGGCCTACAAGGAAGAAAAGGAATAGTCGAATAAACTCGTTATTTTTGTTTGTTTTTTCGCACAAAAAGTATTCTCGTCGCTTGATAAACATATAGTTGAGCCACGGTAGTCACTTGGGATATTTAAACATTTTCTTCATTGACTTTCTGGGCCGTCAAGAGGCAGTCCCTTAGGAGCCTATGTGGTAGTTATACAGCTCTCAAATTTAATTTGTGTTCCGAAGACGAACGAAGGTCTTACGGGGTTGGTACAGCATGGGGATGAGTAATTAATGACTTAATTTTAATTTTTGGGTGAACTAACCCTTTAATACCATTTATGAGTCTTCCCCGACCATGCTAGGAAAAAAAAATTATCGCTCCCCAGATGTAGATCTACATTTTGCTTCGTTTCGCTCGGACATTTGACGGCGCGTACATAGACGCGGAATCACTCGGACGTTAATGGCGTAGACATTGCTCAAAAGCTGTAGAGATAACACGCCACTTGAGTCGAAAGTGGAGTGGATGTTTACGCAAAAGTCATGATGTCATGTTGACTTAAGTCACATACAATGTGCAGGGATGCAGGGATTACAGGATGCAAATGCAGGGATTACATTGCCTAAATTTTACTGAATAAATCCTGTGGTGAGTGACAGTTTGGGCTCTCAAGATTGAACAACAAACACAGTTTCCCAAGCACTATTAGCTTCTGGAGACATATAACGTCTGGCAATTATTAGTAAACTGCAGTCAACAGAAACATATCACATTTTGTTTATCTCATTATGGCAGGGCTGGTGGGAGCAACCATGGAGGAGAGGGACTGACTGGTGTCAAAATTTGCAAATGAGTCAAGACACTTACTCCGACTAATGCTAATACCTCTCCTGGAGAAGAGAGACACACATCTCAACTCCTAATTATGCCAATGTCATGAAAGATTCGGTCATTTACTCTCCCTCATGTCATACCAAACCTGTATGACTTTCTTTTTTTCCTATTGAAAAGACAATTTGAAAAGGGCACTGGTTGTTTTGTCCCTTGCAGTTATAAATTTCAATAACATATTGAAGTTATAACATAAGCAGTGGTCCTATTGACGACTTTTGCGTAGGAATTACTGTACTCAGCAACCCGCTGCTCTTACAAAGTCAATTCTGAACATGATTGTTAAAGACATTAGACATCTTTCCATAGTGAATGGACAAGGCTTTTGTGAAATGGTTTCTGCATTCAACCCATATCCATCCATCAAGAACACACTTTACAAGTTTAATGGAAAATAAATGTATGTAAAAAAAAAAACTGGTATGCATACACCTGATGCAAAAATTGCACAGTTTAGGAACAATCTAGATGTTAAACTTAACACCCTGTAAAAATGACTAAACAGCGATTTAACCACTAAGAGTTAAAATTGAGAATCTCATTTAATTTTCAACAGCAAAAAAAAAAAAAAAAAAAAAATTCTGATGTGTTTCAAAGGTTAAAGATATTTATCCATCCTGAATTTAGACATTTGAAGCTGACATTTGGACTAGCCTTGCTACAGAAGCATACCTTGGTGTCACATGTCACTTTATCAATAAACTGGAAAATGAAGACTCTCACAGTAGCAACATTGCCTCTTAAAGAATGACATACTGGTGCCAACATTGCAACTGAAAGTGGTTGTTGTAAAATTCAACATTCCAGTAAACAACATTAAAGCAGTCGTCCATGACAATGGATCCAATGTTGTGGCTGCAATGAAATTGCTGGCAGACAAACATATGTGAACAATTCCCTTAAAGAGACCAGCATCTGCAAAGCTTTAGGAGCTGCAAGGATCTTGGATGAACAACGAACATTTTAAGAGAACCAGTGCATAAGGTGGTCCGTAGCCGGCAGAACAACGACTATTTTATGATGAAGAGACTACTGGAGCAGAGCTGGCCCATTAGTGCCACACTTTCTTATCTTGAAGTGACTCCAAGGGGAAAACATTACATTGATTTGAAGCCTGATCAGTGCTCACTGCTTGAAGAGCTGGCCCAGGCCCAAGGCCTGCAGCCTTTTCAATGTGCCCCTGAGTTTCTTAGTGGTCAAGAGTAAGCAACATTGTCGTGCCTTCCTCAACTATAGCTTCAAAACACACACCTGGAAAAGCTTTTTTTAGTTAACAGAGAGGTAGGGGAAATACCTTCTTTGAGGACAAAGACAACACGGTCCTTCTGCCAGCGGAGCACTGTCGAAGTCCTGGCTATTAAGAGTCAAGAAAACCTAGAGAAGAAGGGAAGGGTCAAGGTGTCACTGTTCCAAGGCGAGAGGAAAAGTCAGTCTCAGTGAAGAGGAGGAGTTGCATTAGGGCAGACTGATCTCATGAAGTAGCGTGTGTATGACACGCCAATTCGTATTTCCATTTTTGGCGTGCTATCAAGACGCATAATTGCTTTTCAGCGTGTTTATGAACGCCGTTGACTTAACGTTATATAAATATATGACTCGCTTACCTCAACCCCGTCCCTAAACCTAACCGTCACTGGGGTTAATGGCATTTATGACTGGAGATTTGATGTACAGACACGCGGAATGACGCGGACGTTAATGGCGTAGACATACACGCAAACACGCGGATACACGCGGATAGCTCAAAATGCGTAGAGATAACACGCCACTTGACTCGAAAGTGGCGTGTATGTTTACGCAAAAGTCATGATGTCATGTTGATTAGGGACAAAAGATTCAGGTGGTGAGAAAGGAAGAACAGATGTGCTTCAAGAAGATCCCCTAGGTTGATGAAAGTAAAATGAGGGATGTTTCCCTAACCTATCAAAGCTTGTGAGATATTTTCTTTGCATTCCCACTGTATTCATTCCAGCAGAATTGGTCTTCTCTGCTACAGGAAGCATTTGTTCACAAAAAAGAGCAAGCCTGTTATGCGAGCATGTTGATATGCTAACCTTTCTTCACTTTAATTCAGTGCTTATTTGAGAAAAAAAAATGTTCAGAAACAGACCTCTTGCAAATAAAGCTTGAGGCTGATGGGCTACAACAGCAGAAGACCCCACGGGGTACCACTCATCTCCACTACAAATAGGAAAAAGAGGCTAATTTTGCAAGAGCTCACCAAAATTGGACCGTTTAAAAAAGACTGGAAAAATGTTGCCTGGTCTGATGAGACTCGATTTCTGTTGAGACATTCAGATGGTAGAGTCAGAATTTGGCGTAAACAGAATGAGAACATGGATCCATCATGCCTTGTTACCACTGTGCAGGCTGGTGGTGGTGGTGTAATGGTATGAGGGATGTTTTCTTGGCCCACTTTAGGCCCCTTAGTGCCAATTGGGCATCGTTTAAATGCCACGGCCTACCTGAGCATTGTTTCTGACCATGTCCATCCCTTTATGGCCACCATGTACCCATCCTCTGATGGCTACTTCCAGCAGGATAATGCACCATGTTACACAGCTTGAATCATTTCAAATTGGTTTTTTGAACATGACAATGAGTTCACTGTACTAAAATGTCCCCCACAGTCATCAGATCTCAACCCAATAGAGCATCTTTGGGATGTGGTGGAATGGGAGCTTCGTGCTACAAATCTCCATCAACGGCAAGATGCTATCCAATCAATATGGGCCAACATTTCTAAAGAATGCTTTCAGCACCTTGTTGAATCAATGGCACGTAGAATTAAGGCAGTTCTGAAGGCAAAAGGGGGTCAAACACAGTATTAGTATGGTGTTCCTAATAATCCTTTAGACGAGTGTATATTGGCGATTGGTTGATTTTAGCTCAATCCGAGCTGATGGCATTTGGGATCGGGATGTCGTTCTGTCTCACATGAAGATGCTGGGGTCGAGGCTCAACACCAAAAAGAGTGTGCTCCTCCTTCTTAGAGGACCTTTCGCACCAGTTTGGGATTCGACAACAATGCGAGCACAATTGTCTCCAATTTGTATCACTTTGATTCTCACAGTCATAAAAATGTAAAACTAGGCCAGTCATTCACTGTGAAACGGTTTCAGAGACTGTTGGGTCTCATGGCAGCTGCGTCCAACGTAGTAACATTTGGCCTTCTATACATGAGACCCTTGCAGTGGTGGCTTAGGACCAAGGGGTTTTCTCCGAGAGGAAATCCATTTCGCATGATGATGGTCACACGGTGATGACAACGTCTTTTGGTCATGTGGAACACACCTTGGTTCTTTTTCCAAGACCCAGTCTTGGGGGCTTCTTGTTGACGCGTAACGCTATCGACAGATGCTTCCCTCACAGGCTGGGGGGCGGCCATGAGTGGTCACTCGGCGAAGGGTCTTTGGGAGGACCATCTTCTTTCCTGGCACATAAATCGTCTAGAAATGATAGCGGTGTTTCGAGCACTAAAACACTTCCTGCCAGACCTGAGAGGTTACCATGTGCTTGTCCGTATGAACAAGCACATGGTAAAAACACGCTTCACTACGCAATCACGCAGGGCGTTCCCACCACGTCTCGATGCAGCGTCTCGTTCCTTCTCAGGGAACCAGGATTACGTACGTAACTTGAGACGTTTCTCTGTTTGACCTGTGTGTTTTTTGTTTCACAGTATAAAAGAAGGCCTTGGTGCCAAAAGGCTTTTGTGAATTTCTCACCATGTAATAGAGCAGATTGATTGCTTCTGCTTGACCCTGACCCCTTATTATATAAGGTGAACATCTTATGATAATGTGTTATTCGGTGCAACAGGATCTGACTAGATCCTGATATTGACTAGATTCATTACTGTAGTGCAGTAATGGATTAAGAGAGCTATGAAAGTTAATGAATATACAATTTTAGAGATTAATTTTCTGCAGATATAAACACACATAAGATAACTGAATCAGACACTTTAAAATCTTAAACAAATGTTTGGAGACAGCTGCAAAGCTCATAGTCATAAATAATTCTACTTGTTTATCAAAATAGTGAAAAACGTAAAGTTGGTTTGGTATGGATTTACCAATGATACATATCCAATACATATCATATCCATGATACATATCCAAAAGGAATGTATGGTTCATAGATATTATATCATGTGACATACACATAGGCTCAACTGATATCTTGCTGAAATCAGATCAGTTTTAATTAGGTTACATGATTGTATGGACCAGGAAGGTTACCTAGCAACATCAGCTTGACCTGATTAATATTTATTATTATTACCCAAGCTTTCACCATATGCACTAACCCCCTTCAAAAACTGTTTTCCCCCCTGGCATTACCTTCAAGTGTCTTGTTTGTGGTAAGACATAAGAAAAGAGCGGAAGAATAATCAGCAAAAGAATGATTATCTTTAGACCAAAAACAAATCACTGCTTTCAAAGTGTGAGTCATCTTCACAGATTTCTTCTTCTAAAACAGCACCTATTTGATTAGCCATGTCCCATCTTCAATTGATTTCATTCAGCCTAAGAGCACAAATGTGAGCCGCAGAGATTGACTGATTTTGATTACGTAGAATAGAGATGTTTAAAAGGGAGAGAACATCATATGATACACTAAAAGTATTCATTCCTACTAAAGAATCATATTCTCATAGTGCTCTATTGAGCTCTGAAAACTACGAATTCATCAAATAACCCACAGAGATGCTGCAGGCAGTACTCTGTAGTCATATGAATAATAGCACATGAGTGTCAAGTAGTAGGCTGCATAAAATAATGCCTGATAACAAAATCTAGAAAGATGTTGAAGAGAACCTTGGCCCTTTTACAAAGTCTTGTTTTTGTGTTTTACAAGAATAGACTTTCACGCTTGGATGTTCAAAAAACATTATTTTCCAATTTTTTTACATAGTTGCAGCACCTCTCATCCCAGTCTGTCAGTAACTCTCTGGAGTGTTTTTCCTTAAACCAAATTCTGTTGGTAACGATGTAACTTGCGAGCATATTTGGCTTTGGTAAACACACCCCTGTTTAGTTCCTGTTTCTATGAAAGACCCTCCTTCTGAAAAGCACAATGTGCTAAATCTAATTGGTCAGCTGGGCCAGTTGTGTTGTGATTTGTCAATCGCTTCGAGCGTATTTGGAAAAATGTTGCATAACCGCGAGACATTCAACATTACTAACTAAAGATACATTTACACGAAAACGATATGCTTAAAGAGTAACTAAACACTAAACCAACTTTTTTTAGTTAATGATCTGTAAGAATGGATCTTTATTAATACCAGTCATTGATTCGAGTAACTTTTTTGGCATTTGTTTATAAAGTGTTCTATTTCTACAATATATGGTGTAAAAACGTCTTAGTGCTGCCCTCTTCAGGTTGAACGGTGGCTACTGCAGTTGAATTTTCCTATTGGATGTTTGCGGTGGTACGTGACACAGCGGTTTTTGGTGACGTAGGCAAGTTCCATACAAAGAGATGTGTCTCAGGTGCACGCCCCCCTCTGCTGGGCTCCGCCCACT